CTATATCATAGAAATAGTAATTTATATTATAGTAATAACAACCTAAATTAATAAGGAATAAAAATTTCAAACATAACAAAAAATTTTAAACAATAAAATAATATTTAATATAATAATATAAATTATATTTAAATAATATTTTTTTTTTAAAATAATAAAATTATATTAACTCAATATCTAAATAAAAAAATTAGTAGTTTTACCTTTAATAACAAAAACAAAAACAACATAATAATAAACAATTTTAATAATAAAAATGGTTATTACTTCTAGTTCTTCACCACCATCAACAGAGGGATTAAAATCGTTAACACAAAATTCAACACCATGTTCTCAATCGCCACCACAGGCACAAAACAGTAAAGCAACAAGTTTAATGGATGAAGGTCATAGCAGTAGTAATGGTTATAGTAACAATGGTTTTAGTAGGGAAAACTCATTACCATTTTTAATGGATTTAGCAATTGAAGATAGTATTATAAAAGAAGATGATGAAGAGGAAAATGATAAAAGTAGAGCCGAAGAGATTTTAAACTCAAAATCAGAAATTTTAATAAATGAAAGTTATAACAATAATTGTAACATTAACAATACCAATGAAGATAATACAAAAGAAAAATCATATATACCAAAATCATTTAAAAAAGTAACATATAGTGATAATCCAATAGTTGTAAATAATGTAATTTTTGATAATAATAATAATAATAATAACCACAATAATAATAATGATAATAATAAACCAGAAGAAATTGAAGTTTCACCAATAATACATAGTAGTAAAAATAATAGAAATGTTATTGATGAAGATGACGAACCATCCATTGTTGTTTCAGAAGATATCGGTCCGGTATCATCGTCAGCTACGATGAATTCATTTGAAGTAAATCCATCACTTGCTTGTGGTGAATCTTTAGCTACCGAATTAAGTGAGCTCTTTTCACATTTTAGAAGATATAAACAATCATTTCAAAGTAAAAAAGAAGAAGTAAGTTATTTCAAATTACCAAATTAACACGTATAATTTATTAATATTTAAACAAATTATTTTTAGGAATTATATAAATACCAAGAGATTGTAAATAGATTATTCGAAAAGGATTATATAATTTCGAAAATTAATAATAAGGAAGGTGATTTATGTGCAACTTATCCACCAGATTTAATTGTTATCGAACATGAAAAGCAACAAATTGCCCAGCATGCAAGAAAAGCAAAAGCACATTCATCCAGAACATTCTCGTAATCTTCAAAAATTACTAGCCCAATCTAGATTTGCACGTGTTAGAACTAGATTCCCTTTTCCAGTAATTTTTTATCATCATAAAAATCTATGTAGATCCTCAACCCTTTCACAGAAGATTGAATTTATGCTTCAATCTGGTGTAAATAGTATGAAAAAACAATTTGCCTCAATACCATCAGCTTCCCCTTCTTTATCTGTTTCCTCTTCATCTTTAGCAACCTCATCCCAACCAACTACTCCAAATGTACACTTAAATTTAAATGGTAGTAGTGTTATTAATAGTGTTTATGGTAGCAATGCCAATAATGGTTTAAATGATGATACTTTAGATATTGATCGATTAAATACGTCCGAAAGTTTATCAGTATCATCGATAAATGGTAATCATCAAATAAATCAAAATAATATTACACAACAACCTCAAACACTACCACCACAGAATCAAGATGAAAATAATAATAGTAATATTAACAATAATAATAGCAATAATACTAACAATAATAATATGATTAATGTGAATAATAATAACAATATTGACACAAACAAAAATAATTACTTAAATCAACAACTAGCTCAAATTGATATGGAGACATTAAGAAATCAAGATATTTTAGTTATAAAACATTTAAATATTAAATTTATATGTGATTTAATGGTTGAAAATAAAAAGAAAAAGTAAGTAATGTAAATTTTAATATGACAAATAAAATTTAAATATTAACAATAATTTTTTTCCTTATTTTAAAGATTTGGATTTTTTGTTTGTTCATCTGAAAAAGTTGACATGCATCGTAGATATCAAGATTTTATTTTATCATCAACCCCATATCCAGGTGTTGAGTTTTTTGCAGATTTTAATAAGAATCAACATTCTGCTAAAGATTTATATTATTGTTGGGATGGAATAGAGGATCCAGCCGAGTTAAGCTTACATCCAGATTTCAAATTACCTTTAATTCAATGGGAGGCATATAAAAGTTGGGATTTAAGTATGCATCACATAATTTTATAAATTATTTAAATATAATCGCTAATTGATTTTTTTTTTTTCTTTAGTTATTTTAACTCAAAATTATTTTAAATTATTATTAAAATATATTTCAGATGAATCAAGTCCATCAGGAGTTTTGGTTCATTGTATTTCGGGATGGGATAGAACACCACTTTTTATTTCACTATTAAGAATTAGCTTATGGGCAGACGGTGAAATTCACCATTCATTAAAAGATTGGGAAATGTTGTTTTTAACAGTAGCATACGATTGGTTTTTATTTAGTCATCAACTTTGTGATCGTGCAAATAGAGGGGAAGATATATTTTATTTTTGCTTTTATTTCTTAGAATATATAAGTTCAATGGAATATTCAATTCATAGTTTTAATCAATCAGCACAACAAACAACTCAACCACAACCACCTCTATCAACAAATGAAAATAATAATAATAATAATAATAATAATAATAATAATAATAATAATAATAATAATAATAATAATAATAATAATAATAATAATAATAATAATAATAATAATAATAATGGAGTTGGTTTATTAAAACAACAATTACAACAACATCAACAAAAAGATGAACAATCAAAAATGAATCGTAAATCTTCAACTTCTCAACAACAGCAACATCCATTAGAAATAGTCAATAATTATGTTGAGAAAAATAATAATGTAAAAAATAAATTTAAATCAAATAATAATAGTAAAATTTCCTCCTCACCAAGTAATTGGAATAAAAGTTTCGATTCACATCATTCAGCACCAGTCACACCACAAAATAATTCACCAAAGCTTTATATTGGTATAAATAAGGTTAGTGGAAATAGCAACAATCATCACCATGGTAGTAATAATAATCATCATCATTCAAGTAGCAGTTTTATTTCAGCACCTTCAACACCATCTCAAATTCCAACACAACCAAAAAGTATCCAACATACTTCACCAAATATTTCAAGTAGTATTCCAGTTGATGTACCAAATCATCAAAAGAGAAGAGGATCAGAGGAAGAGCAAGAGATTGGTGGTAGTTGGCAATTAATGGGTTCATTCACAGATAAGAGATCCTCATTAAATTCAAATGGTTCAACTCCTAAAAACTTCCATCCTTCAAGTAGTTATACAAGCACAAGTGAGCAAAGTGAAGTCGATGAAGATCATAAGAATCAATCTGATGACGAAGATGACTGTTTAGCTCAAAGTTGGGATACTGCTTTTTCATTTGAACAGGATAGTCATAAATATTTTGAAACTTTAAAAAATCAAATAAATTCAAAAAATAAGAATAATGGTGGCGTTGGTTTTAATAAACAGCAACAACAACAACAACAAAATAGTGTAAATCACCATCACCACAGTCAATCATTAACTTTTAAAGAAATTGAAGAGAGAAGAAAGAAAAGATTAAATGAAGTTAAAAGACTTTTTATTCATTTTTATCAAAATCATTGTTCAACTTATCCCGAAAGTTATTGGAAAACAATTATGAATTTTCTTCCAAAATTTGGTTAACAAAGTTTAAATAATAATTGCATTTTGTTTTTTTTTAATCACACAACACACACAAAATATACACACAATATTCATACAACATAAAATAGAATTTTTTTTTTTTGGGAATATTACAATAAATTATTTATTAAAAAAAAACTATTTAAATTTTTCTTTTTTTTTTTTTGTCTTGGTGGAAAGAAAATTATGCATGAAAAAAAACAAAATTATTAAAATTATTATTTTTTTTTTATGACGTTTGTGGAAAATGGGTCTAAATTTTTGATAAGATAATTCAATTTTATAATAAATTTTAATTTTTTTTTTTTAATTTTTTTTAAAAAACAAATAAGAAAGAATATTCATAAAAAATACAAAAAAAAACAATAATGACACTTTCTTTAGAGTTAAGAAAAATGATTTTAAAACTTCACGAAGATGGAAAAAATCATCAAAAAGTTGCAGAAATATTAGAGTGCAGCAAGTCTACAGTTAAGAGGATTTTAAAAAAAATCGAGAAAAAGGTACAATTGAAGCAGATCTAATACCTGGTAGAAGAAGAAAGATGGACGACCGAATTGAAAAAAATTGTAAAAAATTAATTTAAAATGGGAAATGCTATAATTGGTCAAATAAAAAGAAATCTTCTAAAAAACTTTCAAATAAATGTTTCAATTAGTACTGTAGTTTTTTAAATTTAGGCAATTTAGTCATTTATAAATATCGTTTTATTTAATTTTATCGTGCTGAGAGGTTATTTTATTTTTAAAATAAAAAAGTCGGGTTAGCTCAGTTGGTACGAGCGTAGGTCTCATAATCCTAAGGTCGTGAGTTCGATCCTCACACTCGACATTTTTTGAAAAAGAAAAATCTTCTTGGTGATGTGGAGTGATTTTTATTATTTTATTTAGGTACAAATCTATTAACCAAAATCAATCAATTTTTACTGATTAATTTAAAGTATTTGCAACCTCCTCAAAAGTTAACATAGATAAGATTTTTTAAAAAAAAAAAAAAAAAAAAAATAACATAGATAAATCTACTTCAATCATTATAGGAGACTGTGGCACCCATTCATCACCAATACCTATTGCCAACACACCTCAACGATACCTAGGTTACTATTTTGATAGCCAAGGTATAGTACGTAAATTATCAGAAATCCTCAAAAGCATCCGCGCATCCCTTATATTATGGAAATCAACAGGCGCAACAATCAAAACGAAAATCAACATACTTAAGTCATTTACACTATCCAAACTTATATATCATCAATATATCGAAGATTTTAATGACCAAGAAATGAAAGAAATTGATAAACTTGTTATTTGGTTTCTATCAGCCCCTAACGTTAAAAGCTCAGGTGGTTTCTCAATTGGAGGAAAAAATACAGTATCCCTAATGTCAAACCAAAGATCACTATTTCCAATGGAAAAAGGAGGTTGGAACCTCTGGGATATTATTATTTTTAAAAAAGACAAATTGCTCAAAAATTTGGTTATTCAATAGATTTCTAGTTTATAAGAAAACAGGCTCCTACGAATCAGCATATCAAAACAGCTGGGAATTCCAAATCAACCGAAACAACTACACTTCTTCACTCTTATATTCATTTATGAAACACTGGAAACAATACTTTGGAACCATTCAAACAACCTTTATCCGATTATTGATACAAACAATAATGGTATAAAGCTAAAAGATATATATTTAAATATATTGAAACTACCAGATAAAATTCCAAAAACATGCTTTCAAATTACCCTGGATATTAGAGGATACCGTTACGACCAACTATTCAATAACATATTAAAACTCAAGGATCCAAAAGGTAGAAATACACTTTTCAGATTCCAAGCAAAATGCCTACCAATAAATCTTCTACATAAAAGAACATGCCCAATGTGTAATATTACATCCATCAATGTTTACATATATATTGGTATAAGTTTTAATTAAAACAGATTGTTTGCTTTATGGCCGTGATGAATTTGAATTCATTAATATGAGCAAAGCTATTATCAGATCAACCATGTTAAATAAATAAAAAGTTTAATAAAATGCACAAATTTCTTAATAAAAAAAAATTATTTATTAAAAAAAATGTTTTATTATTTTTTTAAAAAAAAGAATGTTTATTTTATTTTTTAGGTGGTTAGAATTTTTTGGTTATTTTACTTGCACCGTCATAGAAATCTAATCTTTTTATAAACTGGGATAGGATATCAATATCACTATCATCGCTATCATCGCTATCATCGCTATCATCATCTTCACTGCTATCAATATATAAGCTTGCTGAGTTTGGATCGATTGAGTCCAAATCATATCCTTCATATATTCCATAATAGAGCGCAATTGCTTTTCCTCTAAGATCTCTTATTGCATGTTTAAAACGGACATCTTTTTCTAATTTTTTTCTACAGTTTTTATCTTTATTATTTTCTTCTTTTGAACCTATGAAAAGATGGTTAGGATTGCAACACAATATATGTTTTTTTTTTTCTGATTCCATAGATATGTCATGTGCTATTTCACAAAAAATAGAGTGTCTAACTACAGTACTACTCTCTACTTTAAAGGGATATATGTAATCAACCATGTCTTTATATACACCTGAACTGGTGGAATAAACCCAACATCCTGTAATTGTGTATCTATATAACACTTTTTTCAATATTTCTTTTAGTTTTTTTAAATCGGTATCATTCTCTGGGGTGTATAAAATAATATTGAAATCTTTTTTTTTAAAAATGATACCTTTACCAGATGTATTGCATTCTTTTAATGCAAATTCTATTAGATCTTTTTTTAAAATTGGATTAATTGGTATGTTGACTTTAGCTGAGGATGGTGTTGAATATTTTTTTGGTGTGTTATATGGAGAATTTGATGTGAAATAGGATAAAGGAATATTTGGAATACCCGAACTAGAATGGTTTCTAGTAGGTGTATTATATGGAGAATTTGATGTGATAGACAAGAAAGGAGAATTTGGAATACTTGAAGTAGAATTGCTTCTAATAGGTGTGTTATATGGAGAATTTGATGATATATAGGAGAAAGGAACATTTGGACTACCTGAACTAGAATGCTTTCTAGTAGGTGTATTATATGGAGAGTTTGATGTGATACACAAGAAAGGAGAATTTGGACTACCTGAACTAGAATGGCTTCTAATAGGTGAGATTTTTTGGTTTGAAGATATTGGTGTGTTTTGACTAAAACTATTGGTTGAAGTTGAGTTTTTAGAACTGCAGGGTATTTTTTGGGATTGTATCTTTTCATTTATATTTAAATGATTTTGTGAATGAATTCCTCCAGATCTCCTACCATTACTTGAACTAAAAACAAAAACATAATAATAATTATCTTCTATACAATCTTTACATACACTATAGCATTCACCAAATTTTCTATTTTCTATTTCCCTTTTTGATTTTTGGCTTATTTTAAAAAAAATTAGAATTTATATTTTTGAAATAATGTTTTTTATTACATACATTTGATAAGTTTCTTTTGATAAATAACTATTTATTTCTTTTCTTTTTATATAATATGCTGATATATTTTGTTTTTTAACGTATTCATATATATCTTCTAATGTTTCAAAAACATTTGAAGATGCATGAATCTCCATATTTTTATTTGAATCCATTAAACAAATGTTATATTTCATTTTTTTATATATTTTTTTAGTTTTTTATTGATAATATTTTTTAGTATATTGAGAATATTAAGTTTTTATTTTGTATTTATATTGAAAATAATTTTACAATATTATATTCAATAAATAATATATAATATAGCACTTTGAAATGGTGGGGTTATTGAAATTTAATTAAAAAAAAATAAAAAAATAAAAAAATAAAAAAATTTTCATTTTTCTTTTTGTTGTGTTGTGTGTTGTGTTGGGGATAGCATATAAATTATTTAAGTTTACATTCCCTACAAATAATTTAATTCCTAATTTAATTCCTAATAAAATACCAATAAACCCATAAATTATTGTTTTAGACGAAACTACAAAAGCATTAGATTCAGAAAGTGAATATAGACATAAACAAAAAAAAAATTTATATTTTGATTCTTTTATTTTTCAAAAAGTGATGATTCTTAATGATACATTACAAAAAGTCATCAGTATTTTTATTGTGTTTTTGTTTTTTAATATATATCTTGTGTTGTTTTAATAATTTTTTAATAAAATTATATTATTATACTATTTATTTTTGTTTTTTTTTTGATTAATTTGTTGTTGGTGTTGCTGAATAGTTTCTAAATTATTTTGATTTAAAGAATTTGAAAATGATAAGAATTGATCTAAAACTGATTCTAAATTATCGGTTAAGCCGGTATGAACATAAAATGGAATGGTATAGTTGATATCTTTGATTTCTAACCAGCCAAAAACAGTAGTAATTTTGGGAGTAAACTCACCCAATACATTAATTGTGGGGGATAATTGGATAGTGCAAATGTTTTAAGTATTTTATTTTCGTTTTGATTGTTGGGCCTGTTGAAACAACCTATCTAGTTTAAGAAGTTATTTTTTCTTAGATTTTTGTTCAATAGCAGGTGAAAGAAAACAGGCTCTTAAGAATCAGCGTACCAAAACAGCTGGGAATTCTAAATCAACCGAAACAACTACACCTCTTCACTTTTATATTCATTTATGAAACACTGGAAACAATACTTTGGAAATCATTCAAACAACCTTTATCCGATTATTGATACAAACAATAAAGGTATAAAGTTAAAAGATATCTAAATATATTGAAACTACCAGAAAAAATTCCAAAAACATGCTTTCAAATTACCCTGGATAGAGTAAACTCGAGATCTTAAAAAATCAATGAATAGAAGTAAGTAAATAAACACATTATCAAAAACAAATCTATTTAGAAATGGGATTAGTTGAATAAAAAGGAATATACAATTTATTTTTTTGTCAAAACTAAAAAATAAAATTTTATTTTTTAAATTTTCCAATTTTTTTATTTTTATTTTATTTTTAATTTTTATATATTCAAATTTGATAGCAACACTTGGTAAAACAATGCATTGTTCAACTTTAAAATAATTCCCATATAGAAAAATCAAAAAGTGGATGTATTGTATCTGAGTTCAAAGTCAAACTTGCCCATACTATGAAGTGTTGGATATTCTTCGACCTATAACAGTAATGATATCATTTTATAAATGATAAATTTTACATAATTATATTTATTTTATGATTAAAAAATTTAAATAAAATGTTTAGACGCCAAAAAAAGAAAAAAAATAGTCTGATTTTAACAAAAAAAAAAAAAATCATAAGTTACCCCCACTCCAACACTGGACTATTTTATTTTTAAAACTAAATAACTAAAAAAAAAAAAAAAAAAAAACTTTGAATTATGAAAAAAATTGTGCTAGAATTTTAAATTTAAATTTTTTTATAAAAATTTTATTTTTAATATAATGAAATTTTATAATATTGATAAAAGACAGAGTTTTCGACAATATCTACTCTTGAAATGTTGGTCCATTCTTTTAACAAAACACATTGTTCTATTCTATCCCAAATTTGATCAGTTGTTCCTTTTATGGTACACAAGTGACATATTTAATTGATATGCCGATGACTTTATTAAAAAAATATTAACTGGTTAATAAAAAAAATTTTTAATAATTGTATATAACATTAATTACCATATTAGAAATATAATGTATATTTATCATTTGAAATTATAAATGGAAAATTATATCTACATATAAACGATTCAATTACATATCTATATCAATTCTTATTTAATGTTTTTGGTGTATATACATCTTTAGCAAAATATAATAAATTTCCGGAGATCCAACTTTCTTTTAAGGTGGTGTTACTTCATAAAAGATGCCCGCATCTTAGCTAATAGAATATAATTTAAACATTACAGCCCTTGGCAGTTTAGCATAGCATAAGTTTCATCTTGTACGGAGAACCTTGGGTTAGTGTTTCCTTGCAAAGGAAACCTTCTATCCAGTTAAATAGCACATATACAGCTCGGTATAACTTTAGTGCATTGGCGTAGAGTCTTGTTAATCCTTTCGGTTGACTATGGATATGTACAGATGCCATATATATCTTTTATTTAGAATAAAATGATATATTGTTTTAAAAAAAAAAAAAGAAAAAAGAAAAATGAAAAATAAAAAAAAAGAAAAATAAGTGGTAATAAATAAATGTGAAGATTCGTTTTCGAATGAATCATTTATTGGTGGTAAATAAAGTGGTAGGTTTAATTTTTGGTTAGATAATAGTGGTAGGGTATGATGAATTTAAGGTATAATTTCATCATCTAGTTTAATGGTAAAAATGTTAGTAACATTGCATTAAAATCAACATAAAGTGGTATACTATTTGGTTGTAAGCCAAATGGTTCTGGAATTGTGAATTTTGGTTTTAATATTCCTTTTTCAATGTTGATTTTAATAATGTTTTGTTTGGATGATTTTTTAGGAAAATATTTCTTGTCAAATCATATGTGAATGTTGTGGTAGTATTATCTTTGGTTCTGTTTACCTTAGATGCACCAGTGTAGTTTTAGATTATACTGGCTATGTTGTGATGTGGTGTAGTTTTTGTTTCAAAAAAAGGATTTATTCATTATTATTAATAATATTTTTTAAAAATTTTTTTTGAAAATTTGTGTTTAATTTATATGATGATTTTGGATGGTAATTTTTGTTTTAATAGTTCTGGTTTTTTAGTATGCTAAAAGTGTTATTTAGGTGACCAGACTTATTAAATTTTGGAATACATTTTAGGTATTCTGGATAAGTATTTTAAAGAGTATTTAGTGAATAAAATGGATTTTGAGCAGAATGTTGATTATTTTGTAGTGGAATAATGCAATTATTAGTATCCAAGTTATCATCACCATTATTTTTATTATTATTTTTTTAAATTTTGTTTGTGAATGAATAAATAAAAGAGATACACCGATCAACTAGTGAGATCTCAATTAGATTTCGTCTACTTAGAAAAGTTTTAAAAAATCAAAGAAAATTTTGGATTTATTTAAAACAGTTAATGAAAGTGTATGTGGTGATATATGTAGATTATATAAAAATCAACAAAAGTGTGTAAAAATAAAATGAATTGTATAAAAAGTGATAAATATCATTAAAAAAATGAATGATGTTGTAATTAGTGGTAATTAATTATAGTTAAAGATATGGTAATAATAACTATAATAAAAAAGTGTTGATACACCAATAGTATGTAAATTTTGTGTATTAGAGTCGGGTTAGCTTTTGCTTTTTAAAAATATATTGGAATGTTTATTCCATTTTATTATTTTATTAATTATAAGACCTAAGTATCTGAATTGACCAGATATTACTTGAAGCAAAATTAAACCGTTGCAATTTTGGTTGAATAAATTGAATTATTCTGAGGTAACTTAATTTATTATTGCAAGAATAATAAATTTCCGGAGATCCAACTTTCTTTAAAGGTGGTGTTACTTCATAAAAGATGCCCACATCTTAGACTAATAGAACATGAGTTAAACATTACAGCCCTTGGCAGATTAGCATAGCATAAGTTTCATCTTGTACGGAGAACCTTGGGTTAGTGTTTCCTTGCAAAGGAAACCTTCTATCCAGTTAAATAGCACGTATACAGCTCGGTATAACTTTAGTGCATTGGATTAGAGTCTTGTTAATCCTTTCGGTTGACTATGGATATGTACAGATGCCATATATATCTTTTATTTAGAATAAAATGATATATTGTTTTTTAAAAAAAAAAAAAAAAAAAAAAATGAAAAAATGAAAAAAAGAAAAATGAAAAAGAAAGAAAAAGAAAAAATAAAAAAGTGGTAATATTTATAAGTTTGTGTCGTTTTGTGGTTTTTCTATTAATAGATTGAGTGGTTTGTTTTTGTTGATGATTTTTGTTAGTATTAATTGGTTTCTGTTGCATATTTGGTTTGTGCAAAAAGATGTAAATTCAATGATTTCCTTTTCGTTAAATTTACAATGATTCTTTAGCATTTTAACCAAATGTTTTGGGACATAACCTATTGCACTAGATAGAATATTATTATCAGTGAATAATTTATTTTTAAATATGTTATTTTGTGAGATGTTTGTGGAATTGTAATTATCAAACCAGCTTAATGTTTCTATGTTTGGAGATGAGTTTTTGAGTGTACTGGATAAAGATAATAGTTTGTTTGTAATGATTCTCCTTGTATCAGATCTTATTGTTTCAAAGTCTGTGCAGTCTAATAGTATATGTTTTAATGTTTGTGGTATATCATTATTACAGTTTTTACAGTTTGAGTTAAACTCTGGTTTTAGCAACCTCATTCTTTTCCATGTATCTAGCCATGGACCATTATTAGTTATTAATTTGTTCATTAATGTATGGAATTTTGATGGTAGATTATCTAATATTTTATGGTGAATGTAAGTATCAGTGTTTTTTATGGTATCAAGTAGTATGATGCTTTGGTGTTTATATTGATTAATTATGTTAATTCTATTATTTTCATTTAACATTTTAACATATTTTTTTGGGTTCCAAATAACTTTATTGCTATTTTTTTTGGTTCTTTTATACGCAAATGTTGGTGGTATATAATTGTTTGAAATTGGTAGGGTTAATGCTTTTTTTGCTAGCTTATCTGCAATTTCATTACCAATTATATTTGAGTGTGCTTTAACTTTAATAAAGTTTGTATTTTTTTCATCAAAGTTATCTCTTTTTAATTTGTATTTAAATAATTTTTTTATAATTTCAAAGAATGGAGTTCCAAAATATTGGATTGGATATGGGTTTTGTATCAGTGATTCAATTATGTCAATTGAGACTTGACTATCTGTATTGATGTTTATTTTATGGTTGATTGGATATGATGAAAGAATGTGTGTAGGTGCTGATAATTCGGCTCCTGTTATTGTTTTTGCAGTTCCTTCTATAAAGTTTAAACTTATATTCTCGGATTGGTTATATATACCATAGCCTGCTTTTCTTTTATTGTTAATTTTTTTATATGAACCATCTGTATAGAATTCAGTAGGTATTTGATTAATTTGTCTTATTAATGGGTTGGGGTATATATTTTTGTAATTGAATTTGTCGTAAGTTGTGATTTTTATAAGTAAATTCATAAATTCATCTTTTATGTTATTGGTAGAGTTGGTGCAAATTAATCTTTTTAAGATTTTTGAGCATTCATTAGACCATTCTGGTAAATGTTGTGTAATGACATTTTTATCTTGTAATTCATATTTATCATTTAGTTTAATTAATAATGAATTATAATTTATATGAGCTTCTTCGTTGGTATATAATATTATTTCACTATTTGTTATAAAGTTAAGTGGAATATTATTTAAATTTTTTAAAACAGGGATGTTTTGTGTTATTTTAAGGTTGTATTTTTTAATTGAATCGAACCATCTTTTAATATAAGAGTAATCATTTTCAATTATTTTACCTTTTAGATATAGTTTATTTTTATCTCCCTTCCAGTGTCTATATTTATTTATAATTTGGGTGAAAGATAAAATTGTTTGTTTCTCATTTGTGTTTAGACATTTGCAAAGGTTATGTATTCTGTTCTGGTGAATAATATTATTCAAATCGAATAGTTGGTAACCTAAGTTTTCTTTTTTTAGGTAAAAGAAATTTGATATTGTATTTTTAAAGTAATTACCACTTTTTTTTATTGCTACTAAGATTTCTTTTTTAAAGTTGTCTATGGATGTTTGGGTGTATTTGGTTATGGCAGTACCATAGGTAACTATTGGAATTACCATTGAATTAATTGTGTCAACTAGTTGTGATGTTAATAAACATTTTCTTTTTAAATTGTTTAAAACGCATTTTGCTTTTTTAAATGTTATTTTTTGGTGATCCATCCAATCTAGTTCTAGATTTATGTTAACACCTAAATATTTATATGATTGGTTTAATTTCAATATTGGAAAAGATTTATCTTTCCATTTTAATTCGTATGTGAGATGTTGATTTAGTTCATTTTGTCTAAATGTATATGCTGATTTTCCAACATTTACATTTAAATAATAATAGTCGAGGAATTCTCCAATGTAATCTTTTAGTTTAGATATTTGTGAAAATGATTCAGTTGTGCCAACCAAATCATCAGCAAATGTATTATTTGATATTCCTAAGTTTTGGTTATTAATGATTCTATAACCAGTTACATTAGTGTTTAGTAGATTTAATAAAGGATCAAAAAATAGACCCCAAAGAAATGGGGATAATGGATGACCTTGAATAACTCCTTTAGTCACATAAATATCGTCAGTCATACCATGTGGTGTGATAATTTTCATATTATTACCTGATAGAAAATCAGATATAATATCTATTGTTTCTTGTGGGTAACCTCTAAATTCTAATGCTTCGATTAATGCCCAGTGTGGTACTTCATCAAAAGCTTTTTGTATGTCAATATATAATACATGAAGTTCTCTTTTATTGATTTTTGAATCTAAAAAGATGTTGTTCAGTACTGATATTGGTGATATTGTTGAACGTCCAGGTCTAAATCCATATTGGGATTCTGAAAAAGGACAATTTAGTTCGGTATAATTTTGTATTAGTTTAGTGAACATTGTAGCGTATAATTTATAAAAGTTACTTAAAATAGTTATACCTCTGTAATTAGATAATGATTGATTATTACCATTTTTATAGATTGTATATATTTTACCTTTTTTCCATGAGGGTGGTATTTTTTTAAAGTTTTTACAACAGTTAAAAATGTTTAGTAGAATAAATAAACCTGATTCAGGTAAATTTTTAATATATTCGTTTAATATTTCATCAACCCCTGCTGCTTTATTATTTGATAATAAAGAAATTGTTGAGGTTAAGTCATTTAAATTAAAATTATTTAATAATTTTCTTTTGTAAAATTCATTTTTAAACCATTTATCACTACCTCTGAATGGGATTTCGTACCATTTTTGGTTATTGAATATTGGTTTTGATTTATTTTGTGGTGATTCATTTAATAAGTTTTTAAAATATTTTTCATATTCTTTCTTTACTAATGTTGGGTTGGAAATTATATTATTGTCAACTGCAACACAGGATGCTTGTTGGTTTGTTTTATATTTATCTTTTTTTATTAAATTATAAAATTCTTTATTCCTTGATCTTTTTAATTTTTCAAGTTTATCTTTGTAATTTTTAATTGAATCATAATTTGATTCCTTTTTGTTTTTATATAAGTTTTGAATATATATTTTTTTAATTTCAATTAATGATTTTAATATATTATCTATTAATTGAATATCATTTGTAGAAGGAGATGTACTTAATGTACAGAAATATTTAAAATCAAACCAGTTATCGTTATGGTCTGTTAAGGTATCATTTATTATTGATTGTAGTTTATCAAATTTTGGTAGTAATTTTTTTTTTGTTTTAGAAATTTTTAATTGAATGTCATTTGTTATTTTTGATTTTAGTGAATCAATAATTTGGTAACAATCATGTAGTTTATTAATGATTTTTTTAAAAAATAAATCATTTTTTAAGAATATGTCATTTTTTTCTTTTGGTGGTTTAGTCCATTTTAAATTATTGTTGGCTGAATTTAAAATAGTTTCAGTGAATTTATTTACAAGATTTTGGAGATCAATTAGAGAATTTAAATTTTCTGATTCAGTTTCCAGTTGGATTAGATCAGTTGATAATTGTTTTTTGAATTCACTAAAATCTTGTTGTTCATATGGTAAAAGTTTTTTAATAAAATTTTTATTATTATTTTCGATTGTAGAATTTAGATTTTCATTGTTTATAAAGTTAATGTTAATAGATATTTTAACAGGTTTATGATCACTTGATATTTTTGAATGTGATAAAATTTTATAAGAATTTATTAAATGTCTGTTTTTTATGTCTAATAGATGTGCATCTATTCTTGATTTGGTTGTGTAATCATCTCTAATTGTTATACACGTATAGTCTTTGTTAGTGTTAAAATCATGATAAAAGTCCATTAGATTATTATCTTCAAGAAATTTATTATAAGGGACGGTTGAATCATTATTAACGTGATTGTTTAGATTTGATAGTTTATCAAAATTAGGTTGGTAAAATGAATTAAAATCACCGGATAGTATTATAATATTTTCTGGTGATTCTAAATTGAAGTTTGTGTTGATTTTGTTTAAACAATTTTTTAATTTTATATTAAAAAAGTTATTTTTTTTTGATTCTTCTGATTCACCATAGCAATTTAATATGCCCAGTTTGCCATTATCAAATTTGAATGGTAGAAACAGTAATCTACCTTGTGAATCTTTGACGATGTCATTATGGATTAAATTGTTTAGTAAGTTTTTATGAATAATAGTAGCAACACCTGATTGTGCTTTATATGATAATTCTTTATTTTCAAATTTATTTAATATAGATAATTCATCATTATTTAATGAATTTCTAGGTTTAGTATTTAGTGTTGAAATATCATTTTTATAAATATGATCAATTGAAGAAAAGAAGATAGTAAAATCAGTTTTTTCAAATAAGTTATTTAAATTTTTAATTTCATCACGAGTAAATAGTTTAGTTTCTTGTAAACATATAATTTTTATATTCTTTTTTATAGAAAGTTTAATAATATTTTTTATTTTAGTAGTAAAATCGCCGTTAATGTTAAAAGACAATATATTTAAATTTTTAAAATTAATATTTATTTTATTTGTTTTTTGAGTGTTTAAAATAGCAAAATGATCATCAAGAACAGTATTATTGTAATTATTATTATTAATATCTTCCATAATTAATTGTACGATATCTTTTTTTATTTTGGTGGTGGTTTTTGTTGGTGGTGGTTGGCTGTTCAGGTGGATGTATAATGATACCAAAGTCTTTGAATTCGTGCTTTGACTTTCTGTCGAATTTCTTTAGTAAGTTAAAATATTCAATTATTGAATCTTCTATTTTATTGTTGGAATAACTTAAACATTTTACTATATGTAAAAAGTCTTCAATATCAGTGTAATTGCATATAATGTTAGGTTTAAATCCAATCTGAGGTTGTGATTGGTATTGGATAATTAGGTTTTTTAATAAATGCGAGCATTCGTTTTCGAATGATTTATTAATAAAGGTGGTAGGTAATGTGGTGGGTAATGTGTTTGGTAGAGTGGTATTGGTGGTAGGAACAAATGAAATTGCAGATATAATTTCATTGTTTAATTTAATGGAACCAATATGGGATAACCATAAATCGAGTTTTAATCGCTTACTTGGGTCAAGTGGATTGTTGCAGATTGAGAACTTGTTAAGTAGAACATGTTAGTCTGCAGTGTAGATGAATGATTCAATATTGATTGTACATTCATCTAAGTTTATGGTGTTTTGGTTTAAATTTGATAGTGGACCATGATTTAAGTAGGTTGATCTTAATGTGAAGTGATGGTTGTTGTTTTTTGTGAAAAATGTATCACAATTAGAGTTGGGGATAACAGATATGATTTTATTAAACAAAGGTAGTATTATTTCCATATTATTGTTTTGAGGTGTTGAAACTTCATATGACAATTGGAATTCTTTTTTTGGTATTGTTAAATCTTTGTAATGTGGGAGATCTGATGATCCAGTGTTTATTTGACAGTTGTTGTGAAAAAGGAATAGTGATCTTTCTAAACATGAATTAAATTTTAGTGATAGATGTTTGAAAATGATCGATTGGTCAAATTTATCGGTTTGAATGTTGTTTATATGGGTGATGTATTTGAGTGTTGTTGGATTTATTCTTTTTAGTAGAAGTTGTGATAAAATTGCATCAAAATCAGTATAAAGTGATATATTATTTGGTTGTAATCCAAATGGTTCTGGAACTGTGAATTTAAGTTCTAGTATTTCTTTACCAGTTTTGATTTTGATAATGTTTTGATTTGAAAGATTTTTCAGGAAACTGTCTCTTGACAAATCATTTGTGAATGTTGCGATAATTTTATCCTTTGTTTGGTTTACCTCAGGCGCACCAGTATAGTTTTGGATTATGTTGGTTATGTTGTTATGATGTGTAGTTGGTAGTTCAAAAAATAGTATTGGTTCATTATTCTTAATAATATTATTTAAAATTTTTTTTTTAAAATTTGGGTCTGAAATAAATGATGAGTTTGAATGATAATTTTTGTTTTTGTAATTTTGGTTTTTTGAAATGTTAAAAGAGTTGATTGGGTTATGAGATTTATTAAATTTTGGAGTAGTTTTTGGGTGTTCTGTGTGGGTGTTTTGATGAGTATTTGGTGGAGAAAATGGATTTTGGGTAGAATGTTGATTATTTTGTGTTGAGATAATGCTATCAATAGTATCCATGTTGCCATCACCATTAGTTTGATTATTATTTGTGGACATTTTGTTTGTGAATTTATAAATAAAAGAGATGCTACGATCAGCTAAAGAGATTTCAGTTAGATTCCGTCTACTTAAAAAAGTTTTAAAAAATCAAAGAAAATTTTGGATTTATTTAAAACAGTTAATGAAAGTGTATGTGGTGATATATGTAAATTATATAAAAATAAACAAAAGTGTGTAAAAATAAAATGAATTGTATAAAAAGTGGTAAATAAGGTTAAAAAAATGAATGATGTTGTGATTGGTGGTAATAAATTATAGCTAAAGATATGATAATAATGACTATAATAAAAAAGTATGTGTACACTGGTGGTATGTAAAATTTGTGTATAGATTCG